CACCCTGGACACGCGTGTACCGCGTACAGAGGTGAGTGAATGCTGGTGGAGCTGATCCTGGCACTGGTGCCACCCTGGACACGCGTGTACCGCGTACAGAGGTGAGGGAGTGAGTGCTGGTGGCACCCTGGACACGCATGTACCGCGTACAGAGGTGAGGGAGTGAGTGCTGGTGGCACCCTGGACACGCGTGTACCGGGTACAGAGGTGAGGGCTGCGGGGAGCCAAAATTGTCCAGTTGGCATTGCCCGCTCCATCCCTTTCTGCTCCACCACTGCCCGTTCCATCCTCTGCCAGGTGGCATTGCCCACTCTGTCCCCTCCTGCTCCGGCATTGCCTGCCCCATCCCTTATTGCTCCAACATTGCCTGCTCCATCCCTTTCTGCTCCACCATTGCCCGCTCCATCCCTTTCTGCTCCACCATTGCCCGCTCCATCCTCTGCCAGCCGGCATTGCCCGCTCTGTCCCCTCCCATTTGGCATTGCCTGCTCCATCCCTTATTGCTCCGGCATTGCCTGCTCCGTCCTCACCCACTCGGCATTGCCCTCTCCATCCCCTCCCAGCCAGCATTGCCCGCTCCATTCTCTGCCTGTCGGTTCTCTCCCGCTCCGTCTCTTCCTGCTCCATCCCTTCCTGCTCCATCCTCTGCCAGTCGGTTCTTTCCTGTTCTATCCATTCCCGCTCTGGCATTTCCTGCTTCATCCCCTCCCAGTCAGCATTGCCCGCTCCATTCTCTGCCCGTGAGCATTGCCTGCTCCGTCCCCTCCCAGTCAGTTCTCTCCTGCTCCATGCATTCCTGCTCCGTCCCTTCCCACTCCATCCTCTGCCGGTCAGTTCTTTCCTGCTCTGTCCATTCCCACTCCAGCACTGCCCGCTCCATCCCCTCCCAGCTGGCATTGCCCACTTCATCCTCTGCCAGTTGGCATTGCCCACTCCATCCTCACCCAGCTCTCTCCTGCTCCATCCATTCCCGCTCCGTCCCTTCCTGCTCTGGCATTGCCCGCTCCGTCCTCTGCCAGTCGGTTCTTTCCTGCTTCATCCACTTCCAGTCCTTACCCGCTCCGTCCTCTGCCGGTCGGTTCTCTCCTGCTCCATCCATTCCTGCTCCATCCGTTCCTGCTCAATCCATTCCTGCTCCATTCATTCCTGCTCCAGCATTGCCCACTCCATCCTCTGCCAGCCGGCATTGCCCACTCCGTCCTCTGCCAGTCAGTTCTTTCCCACTCTGTCCTTTCTCAATCCCTCCTTTCCCACTCTGTCCTTTCTCAATCCCTCCTTTCCCACCCCGTCCCTTCTCGCTCCATCCTTTCCTGCTCTGTCTTTCCCTCTCCATCCTCTCCATCTCTGTCCACTCCCGCTCCGTCCTCTCCCAATCAGTTCTTTCCCACTCCATCCCTTCCCTCTTCATCCCTTCCCCCTCTGTCCTCTCCATCTCCATCCCTTCCCACTCCGTCCTCTCCATCTCCATCCCCTCCTACTCTGTCCCTTCCCACTCCATCCGTTCCTGCTCTGTCCCCTTCCCACTCTGTGCTTTCTCAATCCCTCCTTTCCCACTCTGTCCCCTCCATCTCCATCCTCTCCCTCCCTGTCCTCTCCCAATCTGTCCTCTCCACCCCGTCCCCTCCCTCTCCATCCCCTCTCGCTCCGTCCTCTCCCACTCATTCCCCTCCCACTCCTTCTCCTCTATCTCCATGTACTCCCACTCCATCCTTTCTCAATCCCTCCCTTCCCATGCAGTCCTCTCCATCTCTGTCCTCCGTCTTTGTCCCTTCCTGCTCCGCCCATCCACCTCTATCCCCTCCATCTCCATCCTCTCCGATCCGTCCTCTCCATCTCCATCCCCTCCATCTCCATCCCCATCCTCTCTGCTTTGTCCTCTCCTGCTCTGTCCTCTCTGCTCCATCCTCTCCTGCTCCGTCCTCTCCACTTCCGTCCCCTCCATCTCCATCCCCTCCATCTCCATCCTCTCTGCTCCGACCTCTCCTGCTC